GCGCTGCCCAAGTGCTAGAACCATCGCTAGCTCCCTGCTATTCTGAGTATTAAGTTTCAGCCCCTGAGCTCGTCTTGAGGGACTCTGGGCTCTGTCTTCACCAAAGTGAAGCTGATGGGAGAGTGGCTTTTGAGGAGGACTGTGCTGGCTGCTTCGTGAAAATAATAGTAATAAAAAAACAATAGTAATAGCTGATACTAACACTAAAGAACAACACTATTGGTGCCATTCTAAGCATTCATAGCAAGATAGGGACTATTTTATCCCCATTTTGGTAGACAGGAAAACTGAGGTCCAGAGAAGTGAAGTGACTTGCTCAGAGTCAAACAGGATAAGTGGCCGAGCTGGGATTTGAACATAGGTGGTCAGGCAAACTCCTACTCATCCCTCAAAACCCCAGTCCCAACACCCCTGCCTCCATACTCCTAACCACATGTTATATGGCCTCTCTAATAACAAAAACAACAATAATAATATTAACATCTGGCAATGTATGGTTTTATATTTATTTAATGCCAGGCATGTGTGCTTAGTTCTTTCCATACATTTAATTCTCCCACTGTCCCTGAAAAAGATTTTTTTGTTTTTCTTGGTTTTGTTTTTTTTTTTTTTTTTTGAGACAGAGTCTCACTCTTTTGCCGGGGCTAGAGTGCCGTGGCGTCAGCCTAGCTCACAGCAACCTCAAACTCCTGGGCTCAAGCAATCCTACTGCCTCAGCCTCCCGAGTAGCTGGGACTACAGGCATGCGCCACCATGCCCGGCTAATTTTTTCTATATAGTTTTAGTTGTCTGATTAATTTCTTTCTATTTTTAGTAGAGACGAGGTCTCACTCTTGCTCAGGCTGGTCTCAAACTCCTGAGCTCAAACAATCCTCCCGCCTCGGCCTCCCAGAGTGCTAGGATTACAGGCGTGAGCCACCGCGCCTGGCCAGTTTTTTGTTTTTTTTAGAGACAGAGTCTTGCTCTGTCACCCAGGCTGGAGTGCAGTGGCACCATCATAGCTCACTGCAGCCTCCAACTTCTGGGCTCAAACGATCCTCCTGCCTCAGTCTCCTGAGCAGCTGGGACTACAGGCGTGTGCCATCACACCTGGCTAGTGTTTTTATTTTTTGTAGAGACGGGGTCTTGCTATATTGCCCAGGCTGGCCTCAAACTCCTGGCCTCAAGCAATCCTCCTGTCTCAGCCGCCCAAAATGCTGGGATTACAGGTGTGAGCCACCACACCTGGCCTAAGATGTTATTATTATTAGCCATGTTTTCCACATGGAGAAATTGAGGCTCAGTGAAGTTAAGTGACTTGCTTAAATCGCACAGCAAGTAATCAGTTGAGCTGGGGTTTGAACCGGGGTCTGACTCCACAACCACCACCTGGGAGCCCCCTGGTTTTTGGTAATGAGGTGCTGAGGGGCAGGGCGCTGAGACCCGGGGAGGTGAGACGTATTCTCAAAGACAGCACAGCACCCCTAGCAAGTAAAAGGCCCTGGTGGCAGAAAACCCAGAGTGCCAGCCCAGGTTCTACACCCAACACGTTAACCCGACAAACACTTATTGAGCACTTACTATTTGTCAGGGCCTGGGCTGGGGGCCAGGAACTCTGTGGTAACCAAAGCCAACCTGTGCCTCGCCCTCAACAAGACAGACAGATAATTAATATGAAATGAATACAGTAATTTAGATGCTAGTAGCGAAACAACACAAACAAGACGAGGCTGTGGGCGCTGGGGACTGCTTCTAGACGGGGAGGTCAAGGAGGGCTTCTCAGAGGAGGTGGCATTTGACCCGAGACCTGGAGGTCAGGAGAGAAGGCGCCACGTGAACATCTGGGGAGAGTGTTCTAGGCAGAAGGAACTGCAAGTTCAAAGGCTCGGAGGCAGACCGTGCCTGTTCAAAGAGACCAGTGTGGCGGGAGTAACAGGGGACACATGCAGGGGACAGCGTGGCGAGATGAGGTGGGAGGGAACGAGGACCCTGTGGCCCTCAGGATCAGCCCCACCCCACCCCCACCTGTCCTCTGCCAGCACCTGGAGCCCTCTTCCTGCGCGGGCCACCTGGGTGTGTCTGGGAGGCAGGGCTGGGGACCGTGTGTGTGTGTGTGTGTGTGTGTGTGTGTTGTGTGTTGTGTGTGCGTGTGCGTGTACGTGTGTGTGTGTGTACGGCGGGCCGCCTGCTTTGCAGACCTCTGCGGTTGGCCCATAAAGTTCCCACCTTGACCACACCAGCTAGCGGCTGGCCCAGCTGGCCCGGGGCTGGCCTCGAAGGCGTCTGGAGCTGGCAGGAGGGGGCTCCCCGGGGTGGGATGACAGGATCAGCCTAATGAGGCCTGGCACGGCTAAGCAGCTGGCGCGGGGCCCGGGCGGGTGGCTGGAGAGACATGGGTCTTCCAGGAGCAGCCAGGAGGAAGCCACGGGATGCTGGCCACCTGGCCGAAAGGGAAACTGAGGCACAGCCCCCAGGCGAGGGTCGAACCCTAACACTGCGGAAGACTGGGGACCACCCCTTGGGCACCTGAGTCATCTTTTCCATCTCCCCAGACTCCAATTTTGCCGCGGACCCTGACACGCTGTGCTGTCTAGGCATGAATGGTGCCCTCTCTCTGAGCCTCAGTTTCCCCCCTCGGGAAGTGGGAGCCACACGCTGCAAGCTGGGCCCCTGTCTAATTTCTTCCCCGGGCCTCCCTGAGGCCTGACTTCATTTGGCTTTGAGGGGAAGATCCCTGTGTTCCAACGTCACTGTCTCCCAGAGACCCACCCTGAACATCCCCGCCAAAGGCGCGCCTCGTTCATGGCCATTACCAAGGCTGGTTTGGGAGCCTACCGGCCACCTCTGCCTCCCCACCGCCTCCGTGTGCAGCAGGCGCCAGGCCCGTCTTGTCCTCTGCTTCATCCTAGCCCAGAGCTTGGCACGATGTGACTTAACGCTCAGGAAATACATAGGGCATGAAGTGATGTCCCCGCCTGGCCCAGCCTCAGTTTTCTCGGCTGCAAAATGGGGAGAACCAGGCCTCCTTCTGGGACCTGCCTGGCTCTCTGTAGGTGCTCACTGGGCAGAATGGGAAGACCCCCCGCTTATACCCCCCCAGTCTCCCCTTATGGGCCTTGAGCCCTGGAAGCCCCTGCCTCACCTTGGAAGGTGACACAGGGGACACAGCTGCAGGGGAGACTTACAGTCCCTCAGCAAAAAGAGCTGAGCCTGGCGACTCTGCATGCATGTAGGACTGTTCCTCTCTCTTCTGTGTATTCAGCTCCTACCTCTAGGGATCTGTCCTTGAGCACCCCAGGTCAGTCCTTCCTCTGCCAACCTTCCAGAACAATCTCTCTCTCTCTCTCCCCCTCTCCCATACTCACTAGGGCACCTTGAATATTCCAAAACTAGCCATGCTGTTTCCTGCCTCCAGATCTTTGAAAGCACAGTTCCCGGCACCTGGAATGCCCTTTCTTTCCTGTTTAGAAAACTCCTACTCACCCTACAGAGCCCCAGCTCCAAGGCTCCTCCTCCAGGAAGTCTTCCCTGACTGCTCTTCCTATGCTAAGGTAGAGCTCTAAGGACTCCCCCTCTGGGTCTCAGCAGCCCTGGGTCTAAGTCTGTCTCTCTCGAAGGATGGCCCAACAGCCATGACACTAGTCAGCCATGCCGTCGTTGCCGATAAACATTCCTTGAAACAATCTCTTGATTGTGTTCCTGTGCCTAGCTGCAAACTTTTCGGTCCCTTGTGCCCAACTCTTCAAAGCTGTATCTTCCGCTTGCTCCCTGAAAATCAGCACTGATGGTGGAATTTCAGACAGTGTCCCCAGCTGAAGAGGGGGGATGTTTTATTCTCTTCCCTGCACTCCTTCAACTTGCTCTTGGCGGCTCGCTGGGGGTGAAGTGGCTTTGGAGCCCCGAACCCGCAGGAGTCTTAGGATGAAGGGAGTGGGGAGGGCTGTCTCGAGGGCCCCAGGGCAAGAAGCTGGGGGTGGGGAGAAGCTGGCAAGGCTGGGATTGTGCCCTGCGCTGACATCCGCCTAAGCCGGTCACGCCCTGTCGGGGCTTCCTCAGCCCCGGGCAGTAGGAGACAAAGAGTGTCATGGAAGCTAGACAAGGATGTGGGGCAGGCAGCAGGCAGGGCAGGCAGGCAGGAGAGTCAGGGGTCCGGCCTCCCGCAGCCCCCTTGCCCCAGATCCCTGGCCCTGCTCCCCAAGCTCTTGGAACCCCGCAGATGCTTCCTGGGGAGGTGGCAGTGGTGGCATCTACCCTGGGAACGGCCATTTCTCTCTCCAGCCCCCCCAAATCCGCCCCACTGTGGGCAGCCCCCTGGGTCTAATGACTTTTAACCCACAGACCACCTCCTGGGACGGTGCCGAGACTGTCCCCTGCAGAGGACGCCTTTTAAAAAAGCAGGGAGGGAAGACACAGCCCTCACCTCGCCCCCATTCCCAAATCCAGGATTTGCCCTTAAGGGACACCGCCCCCCCAAAGCGTTTGACGCCCTCTTGTGGATGAGCCGGCAGCTCCGGGAGCTGAGAGGGCCCGGCCCTCACCGAGGACACCGTGTCCCCGGCGGCGGCGGCAGCGCGCAGGGAAGGCGGCTGGAACGCGCCACTGACAGATGTTTACTTGTGCGCGCAGCTGGTCTGCGGGACCCGGACGCCCCCCACGGCCCCTCGTAGACCACAGGGCAAAAGGGGCGTCTGGGTCTCGCCCTCCCGCAGGCTGGGGCGGGGATTCCGGCTGCCTGTGCCTGAGACGCGCTGCCCCCTCCTCGCACTCACGCACCCGGGTCTGGGCAGGGAGGGCGCGCCGCCCCGTCGGGCAGGGGCACCCCGCCGGATCCGGGCTTGGAGAGCCGCTTAAGATCGCCCTCCGCGCCCCCGCCTCGTGCCACGCGCGGACCTGCCGCCCCGTGGCCCCAGCTTCATGCGCCCGCCGGTTCTCCGCCCGTTACCCCGAGACCCCAGCAGCCCCCGAGCCCTCGTGCGTGGGGCGGGTCGGCCCCCCTCCCGCCCCCGCCTGCCCTTGCTTACCTGCTCGGGGCGCCGGACTACCCGTCAGTGGCGGCCGCGCCTGCCGCCCGCGCCGGCCCCAGCCCCTGCCCCGGCCGCCGCGACCGCCATC